TCTACTACCCTGGCGGCTAAAACAGTCTGATCAAATGTTCTTTCACGCTGCTGTATCTGAGCCACCTGAGTCAATTGCTGTTCCTTGAACAATTTAAGTTGATTGGCTCGTTGCCTCAGATTCTTGGATCGAAACAATATTGATAACATCGCGTTTCGAATGTTTTGGAGTTTTGAGTGATAAAGTGGAATTTTAGAGAACTTTAATTGCAAATATTGTAAATATGAATGTCTATCGGCAATCACTATAGCTAAAGGAAAGAAGAAAAAAAAATTGTTAAATACGGACACTTAATGCAATATATTCATAATTATCTTGATTTTCAAATTTAGTGTTTGTGTTTTTCAAATCTTCAATGAGAAGTTTTTGTTTTTCCCTAAAACAGATTTCACCGAGTTAATCTAAATAAACAAAGGTTTCAAAAGATGGTTGATCGCTTACTCTAACTCCTTCAACTGTTCTTCAGCCTGGTTTAATATCGGTAACCAATGCGCCAGGAATCCTTCAGACATAAGAGGCATAGCTTCATTAAATTTTTGACCTAATTCTATTGACTTAGGGTCTTCATTTTTGGGTAATGAAATAGAAGCACCAGGAGGCGCTACGAGTTCTAAAAATGTGAGCGCTGCAGTCTCTACTGCTGATTCTAGGCTAATTGTTTCGTTGGACATTCGCGAAATAACAAAAATGGATTACGTTATAACTATTGCAAGTTTTATTCTTGTTGCGTGATACAGATCGTTGATGATCCCATCTTTCCATTATAATAAATTACTTCTTCCTCGCTAGATACATTTTTCTATATAAAAGTACGATGGATGTGAAAATAAGTACCGAGTGTCCAATATATGCACCATTTTTTGGCTTTGCCGGCGTTGCATCTGCGGTATGAGTCTCTGAATGTAATAAATATAACTTTTACGGGAGAATTAAATCACTCAACTTACATCATTTCTGTTCTTTGCACATTCAAAAGATGATATTTAGCTGTAATTACTCTCTTTCGCTGACGCAACCTTAACTTTAAGATAACCTTATAATATAATTTCTTTAAATTTATTAGCTATTGGAGCGGCCTATGGAACAGCAAAAGCTGGAATCGGAATCGCTGGTGCAGGAACTTTTAAACCTGAACTCATTATGAAGGTATTATTTGATATAATGAATTAAATATATATTACGGCTAACATTTTAAAAAACCGTTCGGACTTTTTTTTTTAGTCACTTCTTCCTGTTGTTATGGCTGGTATTATTGCGGTTTATGGTCTTGTAATGTCCGTCTTGATATCTGGAACAAGTATGCAATACTTCTTTGTATAATAGTATAAAACTATCATTTGTCTATTTTGATCTTTATTAATTATAATATTTATTTTTTATTCTTTTAGTGGACCCCACAAAACCATATTCATTGTTTACGTGAGTAATGCAGACTAATTTGCTTGGAGCTAACATATACTAACCATATTCTCTCAATTTTTGAAAGTGGTTTTATCCAACTTGGTTCTGGCCTCGCTGTAGGTCTTGCGGGTTTGGCAGCTGGATATGCAATAGGAATTGTTGGTGATTCTGTAAGTTCAATAAAAATTTTGCTAACAATTTTTTTTAATAATGTCAACTAAAATTATTCCAAATAGTTTGTTAGAGCGCATGCGCAACAAACAAGGTTATTCGTAACAATGGTATTGATTTTGATTTTTGCCGAAGTACTAGGACTTTATGGATTAATTGTTGGTTTGATCCTCAATACTAAGGCCACAAATAATTGTTAAAATAGATC